TAGTAGCTTTGCTATTGTTACGCGCTCAAGTCGACGATACACTAGCGCCATCTAGTGTCAGGAACGAGAGCGAGGGGAGCATTGAGAAAATGACATCACAAATCACTCGACCGACAGCGCCACCCGAAGAACTAAGTTTCTGGAAAATCTACACTCGAATACTCGTTGCCTGGCGCGCATTTACTTGAATATTCGAGACGCTTCTTTGCTAATTATATAAATAGGCGCTGCAAGATGCGATCGAGGAGAGTTGAACTCGGCGACACAAGTGAGGCTTCGGAGTGGAATTAAGTGAATTAGTGTGTTTAATTATTGGTGTTTTTAGTTTTAATTTGTGTAAAGTAAATTAAAGTGTTAATTTAGGTAATTTTATCGGCAATTTTTACTGTCACGAACCTCAAGCTCGTAACACTATGGTGTTACAGTATATTTTGGATTAGATTTAATTTATTACAGAATAATACGAACTATATAAAAACTAAGGAGCGCATCAACCTACCTCAGATATTGGGTTATGAATACAGATAAGTACACATAAGATTTAGTTTCTAAGTTGTACATATTTTATAGTCTTCGTTATCAATAGCATAAACAGGCCAAGCCCCCTAGCCTACAAACGTTTCGCAACGAATCTCTTTCAAAAATCGCGCCTTTTATTTGTTTGGCCTGACCACCCGACTCGTTCAGTGATGTCATTCCCATACAGTGTTTAGTTTTCAACTAGCGTTATCTATCATAAAATAAATGAAAATTTTATTTATATTTCGCTAATTGTGCCTGTACTGTGAATTTGATTTACAATCGATCTCTAAATTGTGGTTTTCTTCTGATTACTTACCTTGTCTAGACGTGTTCTTTGGACTTCTGTAAGGAAGTCTGTGCTGTTAGTATTCCGTTTAGGTACGTTACTATTTTGATAGACGTTTGTGCTTGTCCCTGCAGTGACACAATTCCTATTGTTGATAACTTTCTAAGTACTAAGAGAATATTGCAAACCGCTATTGAACACTGGCTGGCATATACTTCGGGGAGTTGCCTGTGGGCTATTATAGCTAACTAGCTATGGTAAGTAAATACATAGATTCGATTTAGAATTAGATTTAGAATACATAGTACCTACAGTAATATTTGCATAACATGTAAATATTTAATCTAGCAGTTTTTAAACTATCTAGTGTTTTTAAATGTAAATAAGATATATGTGTAATATATATAAATAAATAATATATGTATTATGTATATATAAAATATATATATATATATATATATATATATATATATATAAATATATGTGTATAATTTATATTAAGGTTAAAATAACATTTACATCAATTATAATAAAAAATGATTGATTTTATTTTGTTTTAAAACGTACATGCCTCAAAAATATTTTCGTAAGCCTGAAAAGTATGAAAGAGCGTTCATTGATTTCTCTTTACCACTTTATTTTATTTTAATCTAAAATGCGACTTATTAGGAAATATTATTCCTATATAGCACGCGGCCTAATCAATGAACGACACGTAATGTAGCGTGCTCCGAGATATAGCGTGCTGCTAAACTTAACGCGCTTGCCGGCCTCCTACACGCTTTCTTATAAATAGCGCGCCATAACATAGCGTATTTAATAGCGCGCTATAACATAGCGTATTTATAGCGCGCTAGAAATTTATAGTTTATAGTCTGTAGCGTGCTATTCATTTATAGTCGTTTTGAACAACTTTAGCCAAAATACACTACACAGACTCATCAGTTTGTTTTAGACTGGCTACGTGATTAGTTTTGCGTGCACATTAAGATGACAAGCTAGACTTACAATGCTTATTATTTAGATATTATTAATTTGGTGAAAAGAATGGTATAAAAATAGATATAAGTTTTGCCATATGATATCAATTTACTTAAATAATTAGAAATTGATGAACCGGGAGAACTGTACAATTACTTGCGCATGGATATATACTCCTATAAACTATTCCCAGGTTATTTTATTATCATTAAAACTCATTGCAAATTAAAAATCTCCAAAGTTCGTTAAATAATAATAAAAAGCCGTGTGCACTGGTTGCTGTCACTCTTGTGTCTGTTAACAGACAGCCCGCAGTTACCATTCACGTTTGGGCATTTCTGTCCCTGCGCAGACAAAATGAGATCACGCGGACGTTCAACAGGCAAATCTGCCACACCGACTGCGATTGTCCTACACTATTTAACTTTGCACAGACCTATAGTAGCGAAGTCCGGCAGGCATGTCAGTAGACATGCCCGTGGGCAAGCCCGTCTAATGAATTCCCCGCTTAATTTGGAGTGTATTGTATATAAAGTGCGTATAATACGCGGCACGTAAGTTGAACTATGACCTTGTATGCGCAGTAACACATTTTTGGGTCTCAATCGAAGTGCGGTATGAGGTGCGCCGCGTGGGTCCGCGCGTAACCATAGCAACGTGGCGGCGCTAGACCCCACTCAGTCGCACTCTGTCCCTCACTACCCGTGCACTCACCGCGCTGCCCTGGAGTACAATCGCGTACGAAGTTTTCAACTCTTTGACATTTATAATTCTGTCGATTGCGTAATCATTTAATATAATTTCAAAAAAAAAATGACTCAACCACAACCAACTTAAAGGAGACAGGGGAGAAGAATGATATTTGATGTTTATAATTATTTTTTAAAAAGAAAATAATATAACTGATTCTCTGAATAAAACTGCGGAAGCTATGAAAAAGTCTGTATCCACAGTTAAAAGGATTGTTAAAGAAAGTTAAAGTTCAGAGTTTATAGTTACTTTTAGGACCTCTGGTAAAAAGAGGCAACGAATAAAGCCAGTCACAGGCATAGACAATTTTGACATGGGGAAAATAAAACGATGTATTCACAATTTTCATTTAACTGAAAACGAATTACCGATCCTTGGTAAACTTCGTGCAACATTACGTGCCGTTATAAAATCTGAAGGTTCCGAAAAAAGTCTTCGTCGCATTATTAAGGAACTTGGATTTAAATGGAAAGCCACCGAGAATAATAGGAAACTTTTAATAGAAATATCAGCCATCAGATTATTAAGAATAAATTACTTAGAAAAATTAAGACAGTATCGACAACAAAACAGACCCATTGTATACACAGATGAGTCATATCACACCACACCGAAAGGTTGGACAGATGGGTCAAGTAAAGGAATAAAAAAACCCTTATCAAAAGGAGAACGTGTTGTGATAGTACATGCCGGATCGGAGACTGGTTTTGTGCCTAACGCCTTGTTAACGTTCAAGTCAGGTATGAAGTCCGGGGACTATCATGACGATATGAATTTTGAGAATTATGAGAAGTGGATTCGAACTCAATTAATACCGAATCTTCCCCCAAATTCAATTATAGTTGCAGACAATGCATCATACAATAATAAGGAATATGACTTAGCACCAAACGCGAATTCAAGGAAAGCTGATATGCAGGTTTGGCTTTCAGAAAAAAGAATAACATTTACGTCTGAAATGTTGAAGCCTCAGTTATACCAATTTATAAAAAATAACAAAGATCGCTTCAAAACATTTTGTATAGACAAGGTTTTTAAAAACATGGTCATGACGTACTTCGCCTGCCACCCTATCACTCAGATCTGAACCCTATAGAAATGAAATGGGCAGCTATAAATGGTTATGTAAGTAGCAAAAAATTACAATGGAATGTGCCCCGTGTTATAGAATTAGTGAACGAAACGGTATATGCCATGGGACCATGTGATTGGAAAAAGCTATGCGACAAAGTTAAGACAATCGAAGAAGCTTATGTCAAAAGCGACCATGTCATCGATAAAATGACGGATGAATTTATAATACGGGTTGGAGATTCTGACAGCAGTGATTCTGAATTGGATTGCTCAACTGACATAGAAGATGAAATCGCAACTCCTGGCCCAAGTTCTGGTATACCACTAGGAAATTATATAGAAGGTCTCATGCCAATGAGTGAAAGTGATTGAACATGTAGATAAACAGATTAACTTTTTGATGTATTAAATTTTTATTAGTATTCCTTTAACTGTTCTGTTTAATAATACCTAACAATCACAAATAAATTATGTAATAATAAACACAATTCTTTGAAAGAAAATCGAAATTATTTTTATGAAACTTTATTTTTTGTTTAATTAAATTACTTCACTTCATTTTCACACTTATTAAAAATATATTTAAATACGACGAATTCACGGTTTTTCCTTCAAGATTTTTGAATTTTTCAGGCAACCGTGGAGCATGTGTCTAACATTTTTGTCCATAATTGTACCTGCTCAAACGACCGCCATTATAGTTCAACTTACGTGCCGCAATCTGTACCCTGTATTTGGCAATTTAGCGTGTCCTCAGCAGCTCTCCCCTTTAGGGGTAGGGGTATATGTGTTCTGCTATATGTGTCTTGTACATACAACTATATAATTTGTGGTGTTCTGTGGGCCTCAGTGTCAGGGGCTATCCGTACTTTGGAATTTCTCTTGTTTTTTATATTACGTATTTTTAATAATGGTTTGAAGAAATTTTAATACACAGAAGTGGTGCCATTTTGTGTATTAAACGTCTACGCATTTGAACTACTAATGGAAACTAAGTAATAAATGCTTCAATAATGATATAAATCTCATGTTTTTATTCGCTTGTGGACCTTAACACAATATCGACATCCAACTGTCCATTGTAGTCGTCAAAATTTTCTCATCAGCGTTTTGTGAAGAGTTTTGTGAATTAAATTACAAATCATATAAGGCCGTATCGTTTAAGATTTTTTGATCGTAACCGATCGCAACAATAACAAAAAATCTCTATGGTTGTATCCGTCGCCATATTAGCAAAAGGAAAGATTATAGTAATATAGGAAATAATTATTTTTCAATATTCTGCTTCTTAGCAAAAAAAATAGTTTTTTTTAGTACTTTAGTAAGTTTATTGCTTTTTACTAAAGCTTGTGTAGATATTACACATTTGTGTTACTGGTCATTTATAATGGATTCTCTCGTTGGGTACGGAAGCGATGATGACAACGAAACTGAACGTTTCAGCCATCACACCTCGGTAAGTAATGCCTTTTACTCAAACCATTTTTTCTATAAAACTTAGTCGTCTAATCCTAAATAAAAAAGAAATTTGAATTGAAAAAGGACATCCTTGCCAACATGTTAACAATCCCTAGACGTTAATTTTAATTATTATATTTCATGGTTAATTAGTTATCTAAAGATTTATATATGGGCGATGTTCTGATAGTGGAAGTCCCAATCAAACACGTGACTGGAGATAGGGAGATTCATTACGATTATATCAGCGAGAGGGTATCACCTCTGTCTTGAACACAGGGCTCACCAATGTGATGAGTATATAGTGCTCTCGTGTAGTTCACGAACCATAAACGATTAGGAAACGTATCTTGGCACTGTACTAAAAGAAACATTTCCGAATGCTGATTGTTAATCGGTCTAACAGGTTTTTTCGTACACCTACACTCACGAGATGCCAAAAGCAAACATTAACGTAACTCGACAATTGGTCTGTATCCAATCAAGTACAAGAGCACAAACTATAAAGAAGTACTAGCATAGACAACATCCAATTAATGCCTCACTAATTCAGTCAGTGACTGACTGAGATAACCATTCCACACAAATAGATACAATTTCAACAGGTTAATGGTACTTATGACATAATAGAGCTAATAGAATGAACTAGTTCACTGTCCGAAATGAACTAGTATGGAGCGATCTTTAAAATGACTGAGCAGGTACAAGACTAGTTAATAGGTAACTCTTTGAAAACTAGACAAATAGACAATGTTTTTCAAAATGGTTATTTATGTCTTAGTGGCATACAAGTAACCCCCTGAACATAGTCATAAAAGTAAGTATTATACATTATTCCTGCCCACACGCCAAATATGCAATAAACAGCCCTAAACTAACTAAACTAAATATTAAAAAGTTACAAATATGGTAAAACAATATTATTTACTTATTTAAAAAACAGGCCCATCCACAATATGTTATAATGCCACAAAAAATAAAATTTAATTAGATGGGGACTTGCATGGCATGATATCATAGGCCATCGGGGGAGAATAATGCCAATATATCTTACTAAAAACTCACCATGATTATTTTTAACAAATTTTTCATTTATTAATATACAGTGTGTCTCTCGTTAAAGTGCAACCCCAAAACAAAGTGAAACCAGACCATAAATTCATCATCATTCTCTAAACATTTTATTGGGGTCGCGCAGTAATCCTCCTCTCAAGCGTCATTTCCTACTTACTCTTTATTTATATACTAATATATGGACAAAAAATAGACAAAAAATTTTACTTTCATTGGCAAATTAAATTTTTTATTCCTTATCTAGATTCTTTGGAAGAAATTGTTATTTTTCGTACATAATAATGATTTCTTGCAAAGTAGTGGGTCGATTACTTTAAAATAAAAAACTTGTTATGCCACGTACTTGGCAGTACAGATAAAATAACAATTAGCTTGCAAAAAAAAAATACCATCATTACTTTAACTTTGCTTTTTGTAAAAATAACCATGTTTATGACTGTTTTTAACGATCTCTATATTCTCAGAATTATGCCCCCAACACCAGGAAGTGTTATTCTACCAATATGGTAGAAATAATAATAAATCATAAAATTTCCTTTGGAATAAAAAATCTACTCTGTAACCCAAAAAGGCATAGAGTTTTCAAAATTGACGTCACCACTCAGGTAGGCCCCGTTTTCTTACAGTGTTTCAACATGGTTTGATGGGACGTGATCTTTTTGTAGGAAGGGTAGGAAGAAGAGGGATTTGAAATATGACTTACAATGGGATATACTGTGGGGTAATGAATTAGCCAGTTGCTCTGATATTCTCACTGCTGCTACCTGTTACCATTCTAACTGTCCTGTGTATTGAGTTTTTGTTATATTATTTTGGTTTTGTTCTGTTATTGACTTATTTTTTACGTTTTTACCTTTACTTTGTTGTGAATTGTTGAGTTGTGAATGATCGAGTTCTCTCTGCAACAAATTACTGGCATCCATTATTATCATTATGGAATGTCATGTGGACGCACAACAGTCACTCGTTCTGCATATACCAACGCATTTCGGCGTAGACTTATACTGTCAGTACAAAATTTTCAAGAAGTTCATCGGAAGTTAACCAACATCGGACTTATCGGATTAGCAGAAGATCATCGTGAACAACAAGCTGTAATTATTGACAATTCAATAGAAGAAGCGGTTTTAATTAATTTGTTTGCTGATCCTATAACTAGCATTAGAAGCTTGGATTTGCGTTATGGTTTATCAAAGATATTGGTATGGCGAATTTTGAAAAATGAGGGATTGCATCCATACTATTACCTGCGAGTCCAGCACTTACATGAAAATGTAGATAATCTTCCAAGGTGTATCCTGTCTGTGTGGATTCAAAAAAAGATTAGAAATGATCCACAATTTAAAATAATATTTTATTGATAGATGAAGCAAAATTCTCTCGGAATGGGATCACAAATTGCAGGAATTCACATGAATTGCGTTATGAAAATCCACACTTAAAGAGGGAATCTACATTTAAAGTGCAGTTCTCAATAAATGTATGGGCAGCTCTAATTGACGAATTTTTTAATTGGTCCAATCCTAGTCCAATTTAATCTACTATGTTAAACTCTGTACATTTTTTAACTTTATTAAAAAACAAACTGCCATTTCTGCTGGAAGAAGTATCACTGGTTACAAGGCGATGTGGGTGTATGTTTTAGCAGACGGATGGATATCCTGCTCATTACAGGCAAAATGTGCGAAGTCTTTTAAACAAAAATTATGCAAACATACAAATTGGCCGAGAAGGACCAGTTTGCTGGCCAGCGCATTCACCTGATCTGACACCTCTCGACTACTTATTGTGGGTCGCCATGAAATAAAAAGTCTATAGAACTACCATAAACACCGAGGCTGAATTAGAAGATTGAATTCACCAGTGTGTAAATGAGATAAAAAGTGACTGACACAGGGATGGTGATTAGAACTACAAATCAAATTGCTCTTCATACGGCAATGTGCCTCCAGCAACATGAGGCCTATTTTGAGCATTTAATGCATTAGTTATAAGAACTGTAAAAAATTATGTATATCTACTTGAGACCTGATTTAAATTTTAAACTTGTTATCAAAATCTGACTTTTATTGATGAAATGTTAACACCTCTTACCCAGCATATTTTTGGGTTACAATGTAGATTTTTTTTATTTGAAAGGCAATATTGTAGAGAATAATAATAAGTCATAAAATTTCCTTGTATAAGGCAAGGGCATAATTCTGAGAAAATTAGAGATCATTGAAAACAACAGTCATAAAAAGTAGGATATTTTTCACAAAATGGAAAGTTAAAGCCATGTACCACTTTTTTGCAAGCTAATTGTTGTTTTACCACCTTACCATCAAGAATTTGGCATAATATTTTATTTTTATTTTAAAGTAATCCACTATTTTGGAAGAAATCGTTTCATTTTGTACATAGAGTCTACATAAGATATAAAAATCTTATTTCGTCAATAAAAAGTAAAGTATATATTTTTTTTATTTTTTGTCGAAAATTTATGGTTTGGTTTTATCCTTACCACCAAGAATTTGGCATAATAATTTTTTTTATTTTATAGTAATCCACTATTTTGGAAGAAATCATTACTTTTTGTACATTTTGTTCAGTTTGCTTCTCGCCGGACGATCCCAACGTTGTTGCGGATTCTGTCGCTGATGTGGTACTTCAGGGTATGGAACTTTTTATTCCTTCCTCTGTGGTACCCATTGGAGGCAAATCTCAGCCATGGTTTGGTCGCTCCTGTAAAATAGCATCATGCTATAAGCAGGAGTGCTACCAAGCCTGGGCTGACGCATCAGCGTCCCAGGATGTAAACACCAGCGCTCTAAAAAAGAAGTATAATTCCGCCTCTAGGTCCTTCAAGTCATTGCCAAGGCAAAGTCAGAGCACATAGGCAGAATTGGGCCTGACGGAATCCCCCCAATTGTGCTGAGGACGTGTGCTCCAGAGTTGGCACCGGTTTTAAGGCGTCTTTTCCGGTACTCCTACTCCCTAGGCGTAGTCCCAAAATCATGGACGATGGCTTTCGTCCACCCGATCCCTAGAAAAGGCGACCGCTCAGACCCGTCCACTACCGGCCATCGCCACCACCTCCTTGTTCTCTAAAACAATGGAGTCCATTGTAAACTGCCAGCTCATGAGGTACCTTGAGGATCACCAGCTGATTAGTGACCGCCAATACGGTTTTCGCCGTGGTCGGTCAGCTGGTGATCTTCTGGTCTACCTAACTCACAGATGGGCGGAGGCAGTAGAGTCCAAGGGGGAGGCATTGGCCGTTAGTTTGGACATTGCGAAGGCCTTCGATCGAGTTTGGCACATAGCGCTTCTTTCAAAGCTCCCTTCCTATGGGCTTCCCGAGAAATTGTGCGATTGGATCACCAACTTTCTTGCAGATCGGAGCATCAAGGACGTAGTAGACGGTGCAAGCTCCGATTGCAAGCCTATTAATGCTGGTCTTCCACAAGGCTGCGTGCTATCGTCAACGCTGTTTCTTCTGCATATCAATGATATTTTGCAAACTTACATTCATTGCTATGCAGATGACAGCACTGGTGATGCTTTTTACACCGGCCGAGCCAATATTTCTCGGGAAAACGTCTCCGAGTGCCGGGACAAACTTGTGTCTGAAGTCGAGTCTTTGCTGAACAGAGTCTCGGATTGGGGGCGAATAAATCTGGGGTATGTTCCGAAATACAACGCAGTGTACTGTCCAAAGCAAATGACGTCATCATTTGACACTTTATTGTACTAGCGTGCCGCCGCCATATTGTGCCGGATATCCGGCCATAATAAAACAATTTTTAATTGTGTGTTTGCCGAATGACGCATGCCAGAATTTGTTTCTATTTATCAAATACAAAAAATTATAGCATAATTGATGGTATATCCATTAGGAGGATATAATTATTTTTGGAGCACTAAATGACAAAATAATCGCCAACACTTTTCCAAATGGCTCAAAAGTATGACGTCATATACTGTCCAATGTTTTGGAACGAATCACCAGTATGGCGTCGATTCATGACGTCATTTGCATTGGACAGTACACTGCTTTGTATTTCGGAACATACCCCTAGTCCAGTTTAACCCCCAGAAGACACAAGTTTGCGCGTTAACCGCTAAAAAGAACCCCTTTGTCGTATCTTCTCAGTTTCAAGGCACTCCCCTTGTTGCCTTGTATCGGAATCCTCGGCGTCGACATATCGAGTGACAGTTTCGTGGTCACTTGGAAGAGAAGGCCAAATTGGCCTCTAAAAAGCTTGGCGTGCTCAGCAGAGCGGGACAGTATTTCATGCCGGCACACCGCCTGCAACTTTACAAGGCACAGGTTCGGCCGCACATGTAATACTGTTCCCATCTCTGGGCTGGGGCTCCCCAGTACCAGCTCCTTCCACTTGATCGCATCCAGCGCAGAGCGGCTCGAATCGTCGACGACCGAGTGCTTTCCGATCGGCTCGATTCACTGGCACTGCGAAGAGATGTTGCATTTCTTTGCATTTTCTTTTGCATATACCATGGAGAGTGTTCTGAGGAATTGTTCGGATTAATCTCAGCCGCCAAATTTCGTGAACGCACTACGCGGCAAACGTCCCTATACCATCCACACTATCTGGATGCTTGGCGGTCCACCACTGTACGTTTCAAGGAGTTTCTTCCGGTAAACCTCTCGTGGAATAGTTTAGGTTCTGGGTTCAAGAAAAGAGCTTACTCCTTTCTAAAGGGCCGGCAACACACCTGCAATTCCCCTGGTGTTGCGGTTGATCATGGGCAGCGGTAGTCACTTAACATCAGTTGAGCCGCATGCTCGTTTGCCCCCCCCTCTTCTATAAAAAAAAAACATAGAGTCTACATAAGATATAAAAATCTTAATTCATCAATAAAAAGTAAAGTATATATTTTACTATCTTTTGTCGAAAATTTATGGTTTGGTTTCACCCCCTGTCTGGCTTGCACTTTTTACCGAGGGACACATTGTATAGAAATATTGAGATAATGACATTACTTTGGCTAGCTGGCCTGGCAAATGTTGTTCTGTCCTTTTTGGTAGGTGGCGATGTAGAGGACTGGAGATTCTTTTTACTGGTAACATACATCAAGGTTCACAATGACTATTGTAATGACTAATGTATGTGTCTAGGCCACAGTATTAAGTAACCATTAGGTAGACTGTGCCCTATTTTTCATCTTCTCTTGGGACAAATTGGTGTGATAGTGATGCACTTACATGTCTATTGCCTAGTAATCCTAATTCAAATTCATTTATTTATTGCCAGAATGTAGTATGTACATAATATTATAATGATTTTATTTATTAATGAGACCTTACATTCTACCATTATATTGGCGTGCAATATCTTTACAATATACAAAAAATATTATTGAAATTTTGTGAGGTTAATATTATTGAAGAAAAACAATGATGTAATGTTTTAGAAATATTTCAGCAGTTAAATTACAATTACATGTCAAAATTTAATTAATTATGTAAATGATTATATATAAATGCCAAGTATCTAAAAAAAATTAAAAAATGTCAAAAAATAAAATACATTTTAAATGACAAAAAAAAAAACAGTTTTTCCATTATTAGCATTATTGTAGATTTCTTTATAAGTCATATATTCGTCTACACTAAAAAACATTTTGCCTTCGTAGCAAGTGGAGTGGTGTATTTGCTAGAATTCTTATATAACTTATCTTTTTTTTATTCGCTGATATTAATACAATTCTCTGCTTGACAATAGACTGATATTCTAGGTGGGTCAAGGTACTTGGAGTCAGCCTGGCAGTCGCCGTCGTGATGATGACACCAACTATGATGATGTGAACATGGACTTGAGTGAGGTAATTACGATTTTATAATATTCCCCATTTTGTGATAGATTTTGAGTCTATATCATTAAATATATGTACACTAGCTTAGGCTTATTCTACTTAGACTATAAAAAATAGAAGTATTAGCTAACTATGGAAGTACTCAGGGGAATCAGAGGGATTTCAAAATCAAACATATTTTTAAATTTAAATGTAAAATATTTTTTTATTAAATAGTCTTAACAAATGGAAATATATAATAACTAAATTTAAAAAATATTAACTAATGGGAAAAAAATTATAAGCATTAATTTAAATGAAATAACAAACTATAATATGAATAATAATTCGTTGTGCTCTTTTCAACGATGATATTAACACTTTTATTATTTTATATGTTACCCATTTGTAAATTGACACAAAACAAAAGTCAAATACCCCTCGCGACGTGGCCTCAAGATGAGCGGCGGTAACGCATCGACCTCCCTAGTCACTCCAACACGTGAGTACATAGTTATAAGACCAAACAATGAAGATTATAGTTCATTAATACTAACATAATGCAAGAAATTTTTGTGTTAAATAATGTAATTATTATTGAATTACTACAGTTAAACCTTCACTTGAATGTCTGCACCAATAATGTTTAATGTTTAAATTATATAAATAAATTTATCAGATAAAACAATGATTGCCTATTTGGTCTAGTGGTCGCAAGCTCGACTGCTGAAGATATAGTTCTAGGTTAGAATCCCGGGTCGGGTCTTGGGTTTTCTGTTGGTTATATTTCATTGCATAACCATGTTTTGCACTACACGTAAAGAAGTTAGTAATCTCTCTGGTCATATTAGGTTTCTTCTCCATCGTACTTAAAGAGTGAGGTTATAAAGAGTGCACCTGTGTTCGCACACCCACTCGCGCACTATGGCCCTAGCTAGTCTCCGCTGCGGTAGGTCGCCGTGACCGAAATTCAGTCTGGAGGACAGTATTATTACAAATTTAGGAAACTGAAAGATGAGAGTGCCAAAGAACACTTATTGTTCTGCCTTTTCAATATGTGAAATTAAAGTTTACACTTTAAAAAAATATTACATAGTTAATGGATACCTTTATATGTTCTTAAAGAGATATGTTAGTGTTCCATGTCAGAATTTACGTATTAGAACTTAGAGCTCACTTTATAAGGGTGTCTTTTATTAGATCTGCTAATGGAGATTTTCTTAAAATTCATTTAATTTTACTGTTTGAAATTTAAAATTAAATTAAATAATATACAAAGCTGGAAATTGATTGTGGGTGCTAATTTCTGACAATAAGATAGTATATTAAAAAAATTAAGTGTATAGTTTAGTGGTACATAAAAAGTTTATTTATATTATGGTTACAAGTTTTTATTATCTGCCAGTGACAAGTTTGAAAAGTGAAAAATATATAATGATTATTTAGTAAATGGTAATATAATGAAATATAAAGGTTATTGAAACAAGAAATTCAACATTTTAATGTGATTAAAAATTGTCAATAGTATTGTTATGAAAACTTAAAATAACCATGAAGGGCAGTTTTCATAACTAAAATAATTATTTAGTTTTCATAACTAATTAAAAATAATGGGTCTAATTTTTATTAATAAACATATTTTATGACAAGGAACATCTTTAGACTAATGTAAATTACGTTAAAATAAAATAAAATTTATCATTAGGTATTAAAAACGCAGCTCAAGTTAGTACAAAGTTAATATGTTTTATTAATAAAGGGTAAGGGTAAAGTGCTGTGAGCCAGAATTATTAAAATAATTTAACATTTTTTGTCCAGATATAGCTAACACTTGATTTTATTGTATCTTTTAACTATAAAATATTCTTTGTTTTAATTTCAAACATTACATTCGTAAATATTTTCGAAACAAAAAAAAATGTATTATAATCTAAATTTATTATATTTGATAATAGTAATTTTTTTTTCTAAATTTTGAGTGTAAAACTGTATTTCTGCAATATTTTGACGCCTTTTCTGAATAAGAGTCTGTCTGGGCAAGTACCACCCTAACCACCAACTAGCAGTGCTTGCACTGGTGTGTTCTAGTGTGAAGCGTATTTTTTAATGGAATAAGAGTGACATGTGCAACACAGTCCATATGATGATAAGTGGGCTGAGGGGCTGACGCCCATATACATCTACATTTTTTTTTCATGCCCGGTCGAGCCCACCCATTCGTGCTACAACCATAATATAACTGCAGCGTGGCTCTACCACTTCTTTACACCTTCTTTGTTTGAAATTGGCTGCAGGTGTCCATGGACTGCAGTATCGTTTATCACCTCAGTTTAAAAAAAATATACATTGATAATTCTTGATTGCACTTAAATTAAACATGTTCTTTTGAAAATTGATTTCCATTGGAAGAAATTTAATGGATTTTACTACATAGCTACAATGTCTAATTGAAAATGTAATTAAATTTGCTTCATATCATTCAGATTCTGTTGCTGTGTTCATTTCTGCAACTATAATAAATAGCTAAGTTAAGGAAATAAAATTGCAATTTTATTTGGGAGAAAGAAAAAATTGATATTAAATTTAGGTAAATGTATCTTGTCGCAGGAGTCTCAGGGTGCCGAGTCGGAGCCGGAGCTGCCTCCCGCAGAGTCGTCAGCAGTGCGGCGTTGCCCCGAGCGTCCCGAACGCCTAAAACGTCCAAATCGCCAGGATTATCCCGATCGATCAAACTCAGGTAAATGTTGAGTCAACATAAGACGACACATCGAAAAAGTGGCTCTGGGCTATCGCCCTACTGATCCGAGTGAATGCATAATTTCTATAAAAGCTGAAAAAACGCCGTCTTTAAGATTTAAAGTTGCGTAGTACTATTAAAACCGCTTAGAAATTGACAGAATATTAAAATATTTTTTTAAAAATTATTGATTTAAGTAATCAAAATAATGAGTAAGTAAATTATGAATATGAGATGAATATTTGAGTGATTCCCAAGGATATAGATTAAGTAACTTTGTTGTGATTTCAACTATAGTGATTTTTAGAGGTACTTTCGCAAATAATTATGATCGAGTCTGAGAAATTATACAATCGTGTTTTTGAACAAGCAAATTCAAGACAAAGACATGAATTTACCTATATCGAAATTCCACTTTCGTTAGTGGTGTCATAGTCCTATACTATTCGATGAAAGAAGGTGCATTTTTTCGCGGTGTCGCCTTAAAAATTGTAGGAGTCTCATGAAGACTAATCTGCCGCGCTGCAGATGTCGCTAGTTGGCACTGAGGTGAAGTTATTTGTTACACAATGTCATTTAATTGAGAAGTTAGTTTTAAATAAAAAATTATCACTTAGAGTAATAATATTAACACACAAAACGATGCCTCAGTGGTTTGATCTTTAAATAATATTTCTAGTTTTATGAATATATACGAGTTCTATGGTAACTCCTTCAAAGTTCAGGCTTTGGAACTCCTTGCCCGATGACATCAGAAAGGCACTCAATAAGTAATAATAATAATAATAATTGGCGTAGGCAATTGACGATCCCATCGCCCGCTGACGTCACAGTTAAGTGACAAAACTGTTACGTCAACGCAGTCAGTCAGCGCCTTGCGAGAGGTGTGAGCGTCGTGCCTCGGCAGTATTCAGGGTGCAAAGGCCCGTTTGTGCTTATGGCCGTCCACGATACGGTGCCGGGCCTGGGCGTCTCCCGTTAATGGACGCCCAAATTATGGATGATGGCATGGATGTCCACCTAGCAGCCCCCCGCATCCATCATCCCCACCAGAAGGCTTGGTGTCGGCTGGGTCTTCTCGGACTCGGCAAGCGGCACCCGCCGCTGGTGGAGCACGTTGCATGCGTTGATCGAAATTAATGAACGCAAACGCACTGCGGGCGTATTTTAGGGCAAAAGGGGAAGAAACTGGATGTTTGGCGTATCGGGCTCGGATGCATCTCAGAGCTGGAGCCATCTCTATCCGTCACTAAGCAAAACCTGGCAGACCGAGTTCGGTACATCCTGCGCTCCAACATATTTGGTGACGCCGAACTCGAACGACTACGACGTGAGGCTATTCCTTCATCGAATGGAAATGCTACGGCTGGGAATGCGGCGCCAGTAGATGCGCAACAAACTGCATTTGTGGATTCTGCCGTCAATATTCCATTTGTGGCTAATTCAGACGATGATGGAATAGTCTCCCACGAACTAGAGAAAATGAGGAGCATATTGGAAGAGTCGATGCTGGAAACGCGCAGCATGCCTCTCGAAAATCGACCGCGACTTCCCCGCATACCCCTTAGCAAGTGAAATTGGGCTGTCGTGCGGGCTCTTAAGCTCTTAACGCAATGCTGGTGACCTATTTGGAAGCCAGCCGGGACTTTTGCGAGACGGACTCAATTCTTTTTGGCGCTGCACTGGCAGTATGCCGTATTATTGGCGCCAAACTTCCCGTGGCTGGACGTGCTACTTAAAAAAGTAGCGCCATCCCAGCCTGGAGAAAAATAATTGAGGACCGTATCGCGAAGGCAAGGGCCCTTATCGACAGACTGACAAGCTTCAGGTCGGGTAATAATAGACCGAGAGTTGTGCGCACCGTTAGAATGGCGTTTGCTAGGACAAATATTAGTTTGTCCCAGCCGCATATCACGCAGAAACTAAGGGAGCGCATAGATGACCTGAAGCAAAAAATCACTGCTTGGGGGAAGCGGATTCGACGATTTAGCGAGAGGTCAAGGCGGTTCAACCAGAATCGTCTCTTCCAGAGTGATCAGAAGAGGCTCTATAAATCATTGGAGCGACCAAAGATATGTGGAGCGTGCCCAGTACCGGATCAGGCCGACACTGTCGCATTTTGGCGTGGCCTGTGGTCAGAGCCCGTAAACCACAGCGAGGGCCCTTGGATGGAAGTTGTGGCGAGCCAGAGTGCAAGTGTTACGCCTTGGACCTCGTCACCATAACGCCTGAAGCCGTGGCTGAGGCGGTCCGTAGAGCCCCGAACTGGAAAAGTCCGGGGCTCGACGGGCTGCATCATTACTGGCTGAAGGGGTTCGTAGTGTGTCACGCTGTGCTCGCCCGACAGTTTCAAGAGGCTCTCGATTAGAAGTCGCTCCCGAGCCTCTTCACTACTGGGATCACTCATTTGGTTCCTAAAGATCAGGATACCACAGACCCGAGCAAATACCGCCCCATCACGTGTCTACCCATCATATATAAGACACTGACATCCATTTTGAGCGCGAGAATCACTCGTCACCTGGAGCTAAATCAGGTGATGTCACGCGCTCAAAATGGATGTCGGGGTGGTGGTCGTGGAACCAAGGAACCACTCCTCATTGACGCGGTCATTGGCAAAGTGGTGAAACGCAACCGTCGGAATTTCTCCGCCGCCTGGATAGACTACAGAAAGGCATTCGACTCGGTGCCCCATGCATGGCTAAAGAGAGTCCTCCAGATGTACAAAATTGACTGTACAGTTGGAGACTTCCTCGAGCAGTGTATGGGGCAATGGAGTACGATCCTTTGCTATCTGGGCGAGCGGATGATGGCTGCGGAGAACCACATAAGGATAAGAAGGGGTATCTTCCAGGGCGATTATCTGAGTCCAATCTGGTTTTGCCTCTCAAGTGTGCAGCCTCCGTGATTACTTCCTGGCGAGATCGGATGTTCCATTCTATAATGACGTCATTTCTAGTGATAAAGGGCTTACCTCTCTATCCTTAGCCAACGAGCAATGGCAGGACCCAGCAGTGCTTAGCATTTCCGACCGGGAGACCGTATGGAAGGAGAAGGAGCTCCACGGGAGGTACTACAGGGCTCTACATGAGCCCTTTGTAGATACAGTCGCCTCCCTCAACTGGCTACGTTTCGGTTACCTCTTCGGGGAAACCGAGGGTTTTGTCTGTGCAATACAGGATCAGGTTATTAAGACCAACAACTATCGGAGATAAACCCTAAAGAATGGCACCATCGACATTTGTCGAGCTTGTCGCCATCCCGGTGAGTCACTTAGGCATGTCATCTCCGGTTGTTCGGCGCTTTCTAACTCTGAGTACTTGCACAGGCACAACCTAGTAGCCAGAATTCTTCACCAGGAGCTCGCTCTGAAATACGATCTCGTGGACCGGAAAGTGCCGTATTACAAGTACCTGCCGGAAGCCGTGCTCGAAAATGACCGCGCTAGGCTCTACTGGGACCGGGCCATCATCACCGACAGGACTATTCTTGCGAATAAGCCTTATATTGTGCTGATGGATCGGGCACAGTCTAGGATATTTTTGGTAGACATTACCATTCCGTATGACGAGAACCTCGTGAATGCCGAAACAGACAAGCAATCAAAATATCTGGACTTGGCTCACGAGGTGACCGACATGTGGGGTGGTCTGCCGACCGAAATTATTCCTGTAGTCGTGTCTGCAAACGGGTTAATCCCAGCCAGCCTCTCGGGCCATCTGAGGCGACTGGGACTCCGTGACGGACCGCTCCGGGCTCAAATGCAGAAGGCGGTGCTCCTCGATACCGCCCGCATCGTCCGCCGGTTTCTTTCCCTTTCCCCCTAACCCTCGGCCGTTTGGTCTCCCCTGCCGAGGGCTTCCATCAGGTTGGGCTTTTATTTATTTATGTATTATTTATTTATTGATGTTAGTATATTAAATATATATTTAAGTATATTTATTTTTCCCTTTATATATTTATCCAGCCCAACCAGATGTGATTACTCTATTAATAACCCAATAATAATAATAATAATAAAGCCATTTATTCAACAGTACGTAATACAATTTCTTAATCTAAGTCATATAAAATCTAGATTGTCTTCTGCTGATTGCCAATCGGCAAAGGCCTCCTCCAACCTTTTCCACTCGTTTCTATCCTTGGCAACCCGGCTCCAAGTCACACCCGCGAAATTGACCAGGTCGTCCTCCCATCTTTGGCGGGGTCTCCCCCCTCTTTCTTTTGCCATTCCTGGGGTACCATTTTGTGACCTTCCTGCTCCACTTTTCCTTCCCTCTACTCATATGCCCAGCCCATTTCCACTTTAATTTCCTGTCTTTTGTTGCTATGTCCCGAACCTTTGTGTTTTTCCTAATGTCTTCTAACCTAACTCGATCCTTTTTCCTGATTCCCATCATGCTTCGCTCCATCGAATGCTGGCATATGTTTAATTTCTTACTGTTTAACTTAGTAGGAGCCCATGTTTGACATCCATACATCAATACAGGAAGAATGCATGTGTTGAACACTTTAGATTTAATGGATATGTGCAGTTCTTTATCTTTCATTATTTCCTTCATGCTCCAATATCTTTTCCATCCATTTGTTACTCTCCTGTTGTCTTTTTCCATGTTGTCTGTGGGTGAGATCATTTGGCCCAGATAGATGTATTCATCAACGTATTCTATCTCACTTTGGCCAACCCTAATGTTTTCATTCTTAGGTCCGTTGGTCATTACTTTCGTTTTCTCCATGTTCATTTTCAATCCCACCGTGTGACTTTCTAATGCCAGGTCATTTGCCATGACATTCAGTTCATGTGGGGTTTTTGCAAAGAGAATGATGTCGTCTGCAAATCTTAAATGTGTTAACCAAGTTCCATCGATACTGATTCCATATCCGTCCCAATTAAGTCTTCTAAATATCATCTCAAGGGCCGCAGAAAAAAATTTTGGGGATAGCGGATCGCCCTGTCGCACACATTTCTGTATGCTAAATGGTTCTCCTTTCTTTTCTAACTATATGCATGCTGTACTTTTCTTGTATATCTCTCTCAGTATCCTTATGTACTAGCTTTCGATACCTTGTTCTTTTAGGGCCTGCCATATCTTATTGTGAAATAAAGAGTCGAAAGCCTTGCTGTAGTCTATATATGCCATGTAATATAATTGGTTGTATTGCATGGGATTTTTTTATAATCTGCCTCATAACATGTATATGATCCAATACTGAGTACCCTCACCGAAAACCTGCTTGCTCGTCTGGTAGGTTGTCGTCTAATTTTCTTTCCAGCCTTCTTAGCAGTATTTTCGCAAATATTTTGTATAAGTTGGGCATCAGGCTGATCGGGCGATAATTACCTATATTAGTTTATCACCCTTTTTATATAACAATACTATATTAGATTGCGTCCATTGTATCGGGATAATTTCGTTTGCGAAAATTTCATTATGTTTCGTGATAACTGGTAACAGGACATTTTTTGCCATTAATAAGATTTCATTTTCAATGCCATCTGGCCCTGGGGCTTTGTCTTTACTTTGGGACTGTAATGCTACTTCTACCTCTTTGTGATATTAATTCGCCAGGTTCTTCTTGTGCGCCTTTGGAACTCCTTGCCTGATGACATTAGAAAAGCTCCCAATAAGTACGCTTTTAAAAAGTTGGTCCGTGATCATCTTTTAAAGACAACACATTTTACATAATTCATCCATTTAATATGTATTGCTAAGAAGTTTATAGTCATTTGTATGTACTAATTATGTAAAACATAACATAAACACTCACGCCCGTCACCCAGAGGGGTAGGCAGAGACTACGGACTTCCATTTGGCACGATTCTGACATATCTCTTTCGCCTCCTTTACATCCATATATCTACGCATACATGCTCGTCGGTTAAGGGTACTTCTAACGTGGCCCATTTTTAAAATATCGCCAATTTGGTCGATAAACTTTTTTCTAGGCCGTCCTTTCCCGACTCTGCCGTTCACATCTGCCATATAAATTTGCTTTGTCACTCTTTCCTCATTCATTTTTTCTACATGACCAAATCACTAATTATGTATGTATTTAAATTTGTATATTCGTATGTATACGCCTGTATTTATATTTTTGTATATGCATAATTATTAATTATGTATATACAAAAATATATTAGTATTATATAATGTGTACTAGTAGTATATAAATAATGTAGTTAAGTATCATTTGTTTTGTGTTCTTTTATTCTTCTATATTGATACACCTACGTCAAATGACTCTGAAAACTCAAAAACTCAAAAAAAAACTCCATGAGTTGACTGGTAGAGAATGCCTCAAGGCATTAAGTCCACCCTTTCTATTCTTTTATTTTAAGGATACAACAAAGAATAAATAAACATGTATGTGTGGTTTGATAATTTATTTTTAATATAATTAATATTGTAGAAAGAAATGTTAACCCTTACATTTTTATAACATTTCAAAGTGACGCCGCCCTTTTGGTGGAAAAAGTCGAGGATGATGTTTTCTTTTGTATGTATTATTAAGTTGTGCATATATTTTCTCGTGGTAGAGCCATGCTGCAGCTATATTACTGGAATAATTGTAGCACAAATGGATTGACTCGACCGAAGGAGGACCACACTCTCACAGAATACCAGCGTCAAATAGCAGCCCTTGTTGGAGACTTTTTTTTTTTGGAAACAAGGCATTCCATCTTAGTCCTCATGAATGACATCCCATCTGCATTTTGATTGGTATCGAGGAGAGATGAAGATATCTATGGTCTACAGCAACCACTTACCATAAGGTGACTGTGTGCTCGTTTGTCACCCTTATACTATAAAAAAAAATTATGTTACGCGATATCTTCGTCAGTTGTTTTTTTTTTCATGGCAGAGCCATGCTGTAGCTATAATATCTTTGTATCATGAATAGGTCGACTTGACCGGGGTAGGACCTCGCTATCACAAATTACCAGCGTAAAATAGCAGCAAAATGCTGCTGTGTTTCATATGGTGAATATAGAGAACTGGAGAATCTTTTTACTGGAAACGAGGCATTGTATCTTAGTTCTCTGGGGTGACAACACATTTACGTTTTAATTCTTAATTAAGGATAGATATACATGTCTATGGGGCCAAAGCATTCACTTACCATCGGTATAGTGTGTGCTCATATGTGATTATTATGTAAAAAAAAAATAGTTGTAAACAAATTTTGGTCCCTTTTTAAAAAAAATTGAAACTTGCCCTAAGTAATTGTTTTAATTATTACGTTTTTATTCAAATAGATGACAGCCGTGAGCGAGATCGCGAACGTGACCACGACCGAGACCGAGAACGCAATCGTGATCGCGACCGTGATCAGGACCGCAAAGACCGACGGCGTGACTCACCGCCTCGGCCTCGACCAGATCGAGATCGCGAAGAACGTGATAAGGATCGCTCGCCGCGAAGGGAGGACCGGTACCATAGGTAAATTATTATCAATGTTTGCTGTGCACTGCTTCAGTTGCTTTGAGATATGAGCGAAATTCAGGAAATAAGAGTAGTCGAAGTTTTCAACGAGAAATAACCAGGATTTACTATAGTTTTACTACTCCCAAGTGCAGTTGTCAAATTATCTAATCTGACGGCCAACTATTACTCCATTTATATACTTATCTAATAAATTATGTCTCTAGTTGCGGGCTTATTAGTTGTCAATCTAACATTTAACTTTAATTTTCTTGCTGATAATTTTTCTTTGTTAATTAATATAAATAAACTGAGTTTTTTTTAAATATTATATAAAGCTTTAGCATAAATCATAGTAGTAGCCAGATACTCAGATCTCTAGGCTATGCAAAATTAAGTAAATAATATATTTGCAGATCTGATAGACCTGAACGAAGCCGCGGCACACACGAAGGTTCATCACGTCGAGGTCTACTCGGAGACCGGCCTGATGAAAGGAGCAGTGACAGTAAGGTACATAAGCTATAGAAATTAACCAAACCTTACGTACTGTTGATGGATACAACTGGCTGTATTATTTCATTAAAAAATCTATTATTAATATGTTAATTAAAAATTAATTAAATTATTTTCATTATACTTTACTAGCAATAGTGTCTGGGTTCAGAAAACTTATTCTAACTTAAAAAAATTATAAGTACCTGTATATAAAGAATAGAAATACTAACGGAATCTAACAAGTGGTGGTGGATATGTTTTAAGAAACTTTATTCGTTCTTTCAAGTTTATTGTTTATTTCATTAGTTATATAGGGTAAGACGGTAGTACTGCTAACCTTCTATCATCAATTCACCTGTAAAGTGCCCTTTGGCAGTTTCTTCTATCTTGAAAGAGGTTTCTTTTATAAAAATATATGATAAAAGTGACAAGCACAGTCCTTGTACAATCTATATCTTGCCCGTCTAAATCTTGATAGTAAATAACTGCTGCAGTCAAGACCTGGAATTAATTTAAAAAATCAAGGCTTCTGTTATATTTTCTAAGCATGAAATACCCCACAACTTGTAATTATACTGACACTTCATACCCTAAGACTAGGATACTTAATGCACTAATGGGCATGTGGCACCTGCCTATACCAGAGCTTCTGCTGTTGCATTTAAAACTAATTATTGGTGACAGGTACCAGCGTTGATGGATTTGAAGCCATTCGGGGATGAACCCCCACCAGGTTTAGGAAAATCACAAGATGCAAGGGACGCCGTTTCACCTAGGTAAGTACAGAGTATTATTTATCTAATAATAAGTAAGTCCATGTTAGTTCAACTAGCCTAATCTTACTTACTTACTTACTTATCTTCACGCACAATCCCTAACGGGGTAGCCAGAGAGAACAGATCGCCAAGTGTCACGATCCTTACATACCTCTTTCGCTTCTTTCAGGTTCATTAACTTCTTCATACATGCACGTCTAGGTATCCGAGTACTCTTGACCCTCCCCTCTTCGAGCAATTTGCTCACATGGTCTTCGAAAGTTAGTCTCGGTCTACCTCGACACCTTTTAATATTTACTTTCGCTCTATATATTTTCTTCACCATTCGGTCTTCATTCATTCGTTCAACGTGCCCAAACCATTGGAGTACGCCCCTATCAATTTTTGTGATAAGGTCATCTTTCAATCCTGCCATATTGCGAATCTCTTCGTTTCGCTTTCGGTCGGCTAAGGTAACGCCACACATTTTACGAAGAGATCGCATCTCCACTGCATTCAACTTGCTTTTATGCTTCTTCTGGCATACCCAGGTTTCGCTGCCATATAACAAAGTCGGTACCAACACTGCATTATGTATTGCAAGGCGTGCACACTTCACCACGCCTTGCCTTTTTACTAATGCATTCAGGGCACCATTGACTTTGTTTCCGGCAGCGACACGCCTATCCACATCTAAATCACATCTTCCATCCCGGCTGAAAGCACTCCCCAAGTATACAATTTCATTTACCTGTTCTAGACATTCCTGATTTACCCATATTTCACATTTCATTCTCTCTTCGTCCTTTTCAAATACCAGAACCATAGTTTTATTAGCATTCAAACGGAGACCTTTAATTTCACATTCCTCTTTCATACACGTGACTAATGCCTGCAGTTCTGCTTCTGATGGTGCAATAAGCACTGCATCATCAGCATACAGCAGACAATTAACTTTTATGTCACCCAATTTCACACCCAAACAGCTATTTTTCAGCTTCTGTAAACAGCTGTCGAGATACAGTATGAACAGCCAGGAAGACATGACACACCTGACAACCCTGACAACCCTGTTTTACGCCCGCTTGGACGCTAAACATGGGTAACAGGTCATGCCCTACCCGCACACAGGCCTTACAGTCATAGTAAAGTGACTGCACAGCCCTTAACAATCGACCATCCACACTATATCCCGGCAACAGTTCCCACATTTTCTTCCTTATAACCTTATCAAATGCTTTCTCCAGATCCACAAAAGCACAGAAAATCTTCTGGTTAACACTCAGAAGCTTCTCCGTGATCATGCGGAGAGAAAACATTTGATCCGTGCATCCTCTTCCAGGTCTAAATCCGCATTGTGCCTCCCATAAGAATCTTTCCGATTTCTCTTGCATCCTACGTGTCAAAACCTTCGAGTAAACTTTACTTGCTGAACTGGTTAAGCTGATCGCCCGATAGCACCCGCAGTCAAAATGTGAACCTTTACCTTTATATAAAGGCACAATGACCGCGGATCGCCAATCATCCGGGACATCTCCCGTCCGCCAGCACAAATTGCACAGCAGATGGAAGCTGTCCCAGACGCGAGGCCCACCGTACTTGACCATTTCAGCAGTAACTCTGTCTAGTCCCGCAGCCTTACCACATTTCAAACTTCGAATCGCACGTTCAATCTCTTTCATGCTGATGACCTCAGTGTCATCGAGGTCCGTGTCTGGCGTGCCAGTCACGGCGTACTAACTACTAACTACAACTAGCCTAATGAGACCAATTTTTTTCTTTTTGTATTGATAATAACAAAAATAAAAACAAATCAATGAAAATATATTAATGCCGTACTAACGATTCATATCCTTGATTTCTTTGAACAAGTGTACACACATGCACGCACGCACTCATGCACGCGCACATGCACACGCACGTACATGCACGCACACACGTGCACGTTCAAGCGCACACAAACGTACATGCATACACACGTGCACACATACACGTGCACGCGCACACGCACGCACTCGCAAAAGCGCGCACATATACATATGCATGTCCCTAAAACACATGCATCGCTTACTTTACTACTTATAGAGTACTTACCGTGGTATTCATTTTTAATTTGTAAGTTGTATATAATAAATGGCTGCTGCATTTCCAAATAAAAAAATTACTGATTTTTTCTTTTCTACCAGTGGCCTGTTTTAATATGGGATTTTAAGGGCTTATTAATTCTATACTCCAAATTAAATTAGCCTTTGGGATAATCTTTCGCATTTGGAAGTTAAGGGTAAATGTATAAAGTTATATTAAGCATTCTCAATGACATTAACGTGTGAATCTCCACAATGTTTTACTTCGTTTCACTGCAGTGAATAAGAGCTAGTTGTACAGGAACATGTAAAGGATTTGTTAATTGTGTTATTTCGATGCAGATTCGTTGATCGCGATCGCCGTGACCGCGACCGCGACCGCGACCGAGACCGCGATCGTGAACGTGAACGTGAACGCGACAAGGAGAGGCACAGCCGACGTTCTGAGGAGCGAAGGTGAGACTTGTATTGATCCACTATTTTTCTGCCACCAGGGTGGCGCCATGTAAAAATGAGGTGAAATATATGATAGATTTCATGGCGGGGGAAGTTGACTTGTTAGAAAAGTGTAGAGATTAATGATTATTTCTGAAATATTAGTTATATTTCATATTCATTACATTAGAAATGGAATGCAAACTAGATATTCTTAAAAATAGAAGAATAAAAGTTGAAAATATGTAAAAAAAATACAATACTGAAACAATCTTTTGTGTATATAATTATACTAGAAACTACACATTTAAATAATACTAGTTTTTACGGATTTTATTTAATATACGCAATAAAATTCGTAAAAAAGTATTGTTATTTAAATGTTTAGTGTTCGCGTAAATATAAGAAATCATTATACACTAGAAACCGCAAAAAAATTTATTTAAAACGCATTTTTTTAAACATGATAACACTGAACATTTGTGTGACAAATAAGCTCACCTCAGTCCCCACTAGCGACGTCTGGTGAGCGTTAAATTTAATAATTTAATGCTCACCAGACGTTAAATTATTAAATTTAACGCTCACCAGACGTCTCCGGGTCACTACACTCACCGTACGAAACACAGCAGCATCAAGCTGCTATTTCACGCTGGTATTCTATGAGAGCGTGTTCCTTGCCCGGTCGAGCCAACTTTTTCGTGCTACAACACTGACCTCTATATATATACAAGTACGCTGGACTGGCTATACACCGTGACATGATGAAGCGATTTGATTTCCGCCATTTTGGCGCTGACAGCAGAAGTGCACGTCCACGGAACTAATAATAGGGATAAGACAGTGCGACAAAACATATCGATAAAAATTCTATACCCTACCTATACCTCAATAAATAGAATGGACTCTATGGATAGACGGAGTCTACCCATAATGTCGATTCTATTTATGTATCATATTAATATAATGTCATTATCCACTGCTGAACATAGGCCTCCCCCAAGGAATGCCACAAAGCACGGTCCTGAGCCACTTGCACCCATCAACTTCCTGTATCTCTTACAACGTTTTCACTCCATTTAGTGGGGGGAACTTCCAACACTTCACCTGCCAATATGAGGCTGCCACTCGAGAACCTTTTTCCCCATCGGTTATCGGTTCTTCAAGCTATATGGCCGGTCAATTGCCACTTCAGCTTACAGATCCGTTGGGCGATGTCGGTCACTCTGGTTCTACTGCCGATATCCTCATTCCTAAGTTTACACTCCTAAGCTTTCCAGCTTCGGCAGTGCCACGTATTCTAGGGGGCTTGACATATCGACACTTAATTGCCTTTGTCGGTAGATGTTGCGCAAGAAGAAGCTGCCAAAACCGTGAATGTAAACGATGGCCAGAATTTGTAAATAAGAAATAAACTAAAGTACGAAGTTAAAGCACAAATTAAATCTTGAGACTCGAGAGAGAATTAAATCTCTAGACTCGCACTTAATAAAACCCTGTGTTGTTCCACCTCCACCGCAAATTGAGAGGGCCACGGAAACGCTTTCATGTGGCAATGGCAGTCCCTCCTTAGTTGCTGACTCCCCCTCCCCCCCGTTTTTCTTCTCAGATAAGGTGCACCAGAAACACAAGGCATACTGTCCTTCACGGCCTCTGACTCCACCTGCACTACGGACTCCCCGAGCTCGATATGTGAATGGAGCCAGGAAAAAATGAGCACTTCCAAGCATCAAGTGGTGCAGCCTCACCAAAGTCGCGAAGGATAGTCGAGTGGCATCGCATCGCCAACCGCCGTAACAGCACTCCTTTTCCCTGACGACTCCACCTCGACTTCGACATTTCAACACACATCCAACGTGGCTCGACATCATCAGGCGACCTTTCGACACTTGGCTATGGCCCTTGAGTTTGTGGGAAAATGAGGAAAGAAGAAATAAAAAACATTCGAAATAATAATCTAATACTTTTATACTTAATGGTACTGGTACTACCAGAAAATATTGTTGGAATACTTGACTTTTTCAAAGTGGTGCAGTTTTCATGTCTAATAAAACAGTCGTCTGTGAACTATTCATAACAAGTATGACCAATTTGTTTCTGACGCCAATTCACAATATTTATACCATAATTTTTGTCTAGGTTTAGTTGGAAACCTGTTAATTAATAAACATTTGATAATCATCTGTTGTTGGTGACTTTGTTTGTTAACAGATATGGGTAGGAAAGAATATCTAAAAGTATTATAGACAAGGAACTCGACAACCCTATTGAATTTTATTGTTTATCAAAACTCACTAATATACAGCCAAATATGTTGGTATATATGATATTAAGATTAATAACAAGTATTTAAGTATTTATATTATCAAATAGTTTTAATTTGTTTAATATTAGCTGCAAATTCACTTGTGAGATATTACACCACTTCCATTTTGGTAACGAGTTTTACAGATTACGCACACTCATTATTATTAAAAATAATTTTTATTATGTAACTAATATTATACACAATTAAACAACATAAACTACTTTCGTTTTTTAGTTAAAAAGTTTAAAAATACAGACTTATTAAATAAGACAATATAAATAAGACAACATACTGGCATATTATGTCAATTTTATTTTTCAAGACATCCTTTAGCGGCGCTTCAAATTGGCACAGTCATTTTGTATGGTATAGCCAGTCCAGCGTAGTTGTATATATAGAGGTCAGTGTGCTACAACCATAATTAGCTCATCAGGGCTAATGCCCTCATTGATGTTACCTTCAACCCGACGTCGATTTTCAACTGACTTTAAAAAAGGCAGTTATAAAATCGATAGTTTTTATTTTAAATATTTAGCTGATATTTTATTTACTGATAAAATTAACTTACATATTAGTCTTCTGTAAATTTCAATCTGTTGCAATAATAATTGAGGGTTTTTTTTAATTACTCCGCTAAATCTAAAAAATACCTTTTGACAGCTATCACCATTTATTGGACTAGGCATTCCAACTTAAAAATCGCTCCCTAAAATATTCGATTCTTGAAACAAATCGATATCGATTCTTTTATTTAGATTAATACTGGAAAAACTTAGAAACAGGAAACTCAAAACACAAAATTTATCAGTTCCTTCATATTTATTGTTTACTGCTAATTTATAGATAAAAAGTTGTATAAATTAAAGACTGCACTAGATTTAAAAACAAATTTATTTAACCACTTTCATTACAACTAGTTGAGCTCTCATTGTCAGAATTGTTTTTTTTTACATTAATTATTATTATTTGCTTTTCTATAATGCATTCAAAATTAATTCTTTCATAGTCGTCAATAACAATTTTCTTTGTTTTCTCCGTCACTTCGGCCCACTCATCCCTTGCATAATCGTATGTTTCACAAATCCTCCTCCGGCGGAACCCACAAGGCAAATTATGAGGGGCTCACCCTTTACTAATGGTGGTTAATATAGCGCATAGCGCCATATTATAGCGCGCTATCTCGCCATAACACATAGCGCGTGCTATCTAAGTAGTCGACGCTATCGTATGGCGCTATTGCGCTATGGCGCTTTGGCGATCTTAAGTACTAAAATCTAGTGGGAACTAGTTCTAGCAGCATTGCTGTTGGGAGAGGACGTGTGACGCAAATTTAATCTAGTAGCACGCTATTCATCGCGCGCGACCTAATTTAGTGTTAGACGTTGTTTAGTTAGTGTATACTGTATATTTATAAGTGATCGAAGGACACAGTTGTCTGCTATAAAAGAAGCCTAACTAATATTTTTAAATGTAAATAAAATATAGATACAAAAATGTATATAATAGTGTATGTAAATAGTTGATTTTTATAAATACAATCAATAAACTTTTAAATACACAGTTATTAGATTTATAATTTATATTAAGGATAAAATAACGTTTACATCAATTATAATAAAAAAAATAATTGATTTTATTTTCATTTTAAAAAGCACATGCTTTAAAAATATTTTTAGGATTATAGAAAGTCATAAGCCTGAAAAGTATGAAAAAGCGTCCATTGCTTTTTCTTTACCGCTTTCTTTTATTTTAGTCTAAAATGCGACTTATTACAAAATAATGTGCTTATATAGCACGCGGTCTATCCAATGAACGACATGTGTAAAAAAAATTATTTATAATGTAACGTGCTACGAGATGTAGCGTGCTGCAAAATTTAACGCGCTTGCCGGTCTCCTACACGCGTTGTTATAAATAGCGCGCTATAACGTAGCGTATTTAATAGCGTGCTAGAAATTTATAGTTTAGTCTGTAGCGTGCTATTGATTTATAGTCGTTTTGAACAACTTTACCTTTTACTACGGGCACATGTCATCTGTCCATGCCTGTGGTACAGTGTGGTTGGCGTTTAGCCATATTTCATGTATGAATTTAGCACTGTCCCATTTGATTATATTTATAATTATCCTTTTCAAATGATTCAAATGACTATACTACCATTGTACAAGCCGGCATCTTCTAAACTTATTCGCAAATTTACCGCAGTGAGATTCACAGAATTATAAAAAATTTGACTTCTTTTATTAATGATTCATTTAATTTACGTAACTATAAAATTAAAAAAATAATTAAAAAATAATAAAATTAAATGTAAAAATTTGAATAAGTTTTTTGTATAAATAATTTGAATATTTTATCGATTATTCGCATTATCATGAATTGTAATCACACAAACACTAAGGTAAAGTACATAACGACATAACATTGAAACAGTGTCTAGCAAAAAAGTTGATTCTGGTTGTTTTTTTTTTTTTAAATATTTTACATTGTTTGAAAGATACAAATTCCAATTAGGGATGTGATGATACAAATTCAAATCAGTGATAAATAAATACATGTACAAAACATGCATGTTGTAATGAAATACAGATAACTTCATAATTCTTTTGATTTACGTAAAAAGTTATTTTAAATTGTGTGAGTCTGCTTGTATAAAATTTTAGCAGAATGACTAATTTGAAACGTCAAAAGGTATTAATTAGATTTTGTGGAGTATTTATAATATTGTGAAATTAAGACAGCACATTTTGTAGAGAAGGAGACCTTGTTCTTCCATAATTCTTATTTGACATTTACGGTAAATTTAAATTGAAACTTTTTATTAAATTTTTTTTTTGTATAAATGTATTTAAATTAATCTGTAATGTGTGTTTGATTGATTGCGCAGGTCTTCAGGACACAGACATGGAGAACATAGATCAAGATCTCGGGGCGCTGCCTATCCGCCTCCCCCTTCACATTCTAGGTGTGTTACATTTAAACCTCTTTTATATTTATAACTAAACTAGCTGCTCCATGTATTGGCGGTGTGAAAATATCCACTAGCCCATAGCGTCCCGCGGGTGTCATAAGAAGCGACACAGGGCAACTGAAACAGAAGATGGAACTGCAGTAGATGGAAACGTTTGGCAGGCTGATTGCTAATCTGCCTGCCAAGTGTGGCAACTTTGGCAAAATTTTCCCTACGAGGTAATCATATGTAACGTAATTAACGCACACCCTCAGACACCCCAATTAGTATATTATGTTATAATCATAATACATACACTGAAATTTTAGTAAAAATATTTTATGCACTGGTTATTTATCAAATTAGTTATACTAATTCCGGAAGAATGTTGTGGTCACAGTACAAATCCACGAACGCAAAGACTTTAACGTGCTTGAAATAAACAATGATTTCAAAAGGAACGATAGGCCCTTTTAAATATTTTACTTATAACTTATTCATACAAGAAAAAGTAGCGCATAATACAAACGTCAACGTCATATCAAAACACGACGTAACCAGGGTCGGATTTCGTAGTAAAATTATCCTAATTGTATCATTATTTCATAGTTTGTAGTATATAGTATTGTAATAGTAGAAAGCGAAATTACGATAATTTTACTTAAAGGTCGACTAGTATTATTACTGTGTCCTTTTAAATTTTAACATTTACCCTACGATATCAAGAATTTTTGTATTGTACATGAGTACCGCGTTTTTTTAATAAAATTAGAATTAGCTCCCTTTCTGGTCAATCGATGCTCGATCAATGCATTTATGTTGTATCCTTGATACAACTTTAATGAGGGGCTACCGAGATAAAAACTCTATGCTCCTGAAGCAATCGGTTTGAAAACAGAATTTCACAATATTTTATGAATCAGATTTTCAGATTCAATTATGCAGATATGGTTTCTTTTGTACTCTTTTCGTTTCACACTAATTGAATATAAAATATATTAGGTACCAATATTCAAAATTTAACTTACAATAAGTTCCTTAGGCAAAAATCAAACAGAAATAAAAATAAAACACTCAAAAAACGAAACGTATAGATAAACTAGACGCGTGACGCCAAAATCCCGGCACATGGGAAAAAAGAAACATGAAACGTCAAACGTGATATAATTTTTTTTATTTTAATATTTTCCATGTACAATATTTTTGAGGGTGAATCCAGCCGTGGACTAATCTTGGTAGCGTAACTAAACTAACTGCAAAATAAAACTTTGAAAATGCGTTTATATAATAATTTTATTGTAACAAAATTAATATACCTAAGGTGCATTCTTTTACCACGCAACTAGACATAATTATGACAAGCAAATCTGTCATGCGCGCGCACTACTGTCGACCGATTCGCGTTGGCCCTAAACTGTAATTTTAGGGCCAGTGCACTGGTCCGTTTTAGTTGTTCGGTCGGCCCGGTCCTTACGCTAGTAATATATATTTCGTTCATTTTTCTTTATTTTTATTGAATGACAGAATTAGTAATAATACAAATAAAACTGCACTCTTAAAAGTCTTATTGCCTTAAGTTACGGTCCATTTCAGTTTGTTTTAACTGTACAGATTTAGTGTGACTGTAATTTACGTAGTTTTAGTTATTTTTGGGATAAAAAATTATCTATATTAAAAATGATAGGAATCCATTCAGTAAACGATTCTGAACAAACTACTTTCTCAAAGTGCGTTAATTATGTTACGTCTTGTATAAGAGAGGCCTAAGTTCTGCAGTAGAATTTTATATGCTGTAATGAATGAATAAATAGCTGTTAGGACTCCTTTTCCAATATTAGTGCTAATATGGGAAAGATAGTACCGGTAGGCGTAATGTACCCGTCACTAGATGGAGTGACAACTTGGTAAGACATGCAGTAAGTCAATGGATTCAGGTGGCTCAGGACCGTGCTTTGTGGCTTTACTTGGGGGAGGCCTATGTTCAGCAGTGGACTTGTGAAGAGTTGTATTGATTATAATGATGATGACTGCTGTGCTCCAATCTGAAGGGTATTGAGAGCTAGTATAATTACAGGCTGTGAGGAGTTCTATGTTATCCTAAGAGGTTACAACAAATCTGAAGCCTTCTTTGTTTAAAGTTAGCTGCAGGTGTCCAAGGATTGCAACCCCCAATCAACATCATGTGGACTGTAGTAGTTTGTTTACCACTTCTGTTCTACAAACAAGTGGCAAAATTAAAAAAATTGTGCACCGACTTCAATATAATTAAAATGAGACATAGACTTGTTATACTATTGTGTATGGACTGGGTCATTGAACAAACAAAATGGCACCGACTCCTTGGTGCGAAAATGTTAAGAGGAGCTAATTACTGGCTTGGAGGACCAACGCGTGCCGTCCGGTCCGTGCTGTGTTTCCACTTTTAGATATTTTGCACTATTACTGTAAATCTACAAATATAGGTAGGGCTTTAGGTGTTTCTTTAAGTTGACAGGGTTTTGGATAATTTGGGGTAAAATCAAACTTCAGGTAACCCTGTTTTTCATACCCACCCAATGTAATTTTTTTTATTATTTATCAAAGGGGATAGACTTAAAAGAACTAGAAAAGTGTAGAATAAAAAAGGTTTTCGTTCTGTATGTCGAAATAATGATATAATATTTTACTTAATTACATATTCGTTATTCGTATGAAACTTCGATCAATAATAGTATATTGATCGAAGTATGAAACTGTTATTATCATTTAAAAATGCCTTCATCACAAAACTCGAGATTTTTGATCTTGAAGTGATATTCAAACCTTGCAATGATGTTGTTCTTTAAAATATTGAAAATTAGGTCCAATAAATAAGGCTATATTGATATTGAGTATTTCTACAGGTTCTAGGGTAAAACCAAAATCATAAGTGGAACCACCGGTTCAGTGGTATTTCATGAGTATTTAAGAGATGGCGCTGATTTATTCTATGTTTAAACCGTCAAAAATTTTTGTTCACACGACCGTGTCTTGTCATTATATAAATGAAAATGAGAAAAACAGTCCATTAAATACGCATTGTTAAGGATAACTCAAAAACTACTAGTAAGATCTTGATTAAATTTATATATAAAAAAATTTATATGTGGTCCCCACACAAGACAAGAAGTACCAGCTTAAAAAATCATCAAAATCGGTTTAACAAGAGAAAAGTTCTAAGGTAACAAACACCACACACATTAAAAAAACATACAGTCGAATTTAATACCTTCTTTTTGAAGTCGGTAAAAAGAAATAGAAGTATGTATGTATTCCTGAATATTTTTAAAATTAAAATGTGTTTCGTTGTAGTTTGTTTAATTTTAGTTTATTATATTTAACTTTTCTGTTTTTGTTCTAGCGAGAGGCGCGGGTCGCCTCCGTCGGGTGATTACAGACCTTCTTCATATAAAGTCAACAAGAAGTTGGAGGTTATGGAGAAAATGGGTACGTTTTTTTTACATTATTTTCTACCATGATTCTAATGTTTTGCTTTGGTGGTTTGCATTTCGCTGCTTGTGTGTCGTAAGAGGTTATATTTAAAGTATTAGAATGACCTCACAGCCTCCGATAAATTGCGGCACTCTCATCTGCCAGATAAAAATACCCAGGCAAGTATTGAGATGTGTCAAAGATGCGCTTTCTAGCACGAGGCCTTACTCTAGAACCTACTACTCAAGAAACTTTCTTTCCCATTGGTTGTCAGTTCTTCTAGCTATATGGGTGGCCCTTTGCCACATTATCTTATTGATGTGTTGGGATATGACAGTTACTCTGGTTTTTCTGAAGATTTCCTTGTTACAGCTTTTATTCTGTAGAGAAATTGCGAGCAATAGACATTTCCACGCACTGTATGCGCTGTTGTGTAGAATATGCATCAAAACAATTAAGATTGTTGTAAAATGTGTACAGATTTTAAAATATCTGTGTAATATTCTGATCAAATTTGTGAAATGATAATAATTTCACTGAAATCCATGTTTAATTGAAACATGTTTCATTTGCAGGACTCCAGATAAAGACTCCAGATGGATCGATGGCCACAGCGCAGCAGCTGCGCGCGGCCGCAAGCGAGACTCCAGCTCACAGCGGACTACCTACCTACTTCAACTCTGGCTCTATGACCACAAACAAAATCATGGACCAGGTTAGTGTAGTGAACACAATCGATAGTTATTTTTATTTACGTCACGCAGGTAGCAAGAGTGACAGACCTGCTGGAACTAAGTAAATGCGAATGACGATTGCTTGCTCTTATAAAGTGTTTTTCTTTTTCAGGTACAGAAGCGCAAATTGTTATGGTCAAATAAGAATAAATCGGAGGCGGAAGAAGCCGCTAAATGGAGTGGAACCCGTTTTGCGCAAGACTCAGACGGCAAGCAGGTGTCCAAGTTCATGCGTCTGATGGGTATTAAAGAGCCAGGTATGTTGAGTATTTTTAGAATTCAGTTTTATTCAATGTTGTCCCAGCAGTAGGAAGGCCAAAACTTATTTCATATGAGGTGGTTTGAATCCACTGGCCATTGCAGACAAAAATGCATAATCACTATTTTACTGAGTACTTCTTCCGTGCGAGATTTCAATTCGGCTCTCAGCGCATCAATTCAATGCTAATCACTAACAGGCCTATACCTTGTGTAATTATTATATTTGTGGTATTATTGCAGTAAAATACTGGTAATTTGCTAACTCATGTGGTTAACACGGTTAACTTATAACTTATATGTGGTAGCGCCATGCTGCAGTTATATTTGTAGCACTAATGGGTCGGCTCGACCGCGCTCCTTCACAGAATACCAGTGTTGGATAGCAGCTTAATGCTGCTGTGTTACATATGGTGAGTGTTAGAACCGGAGTCTTCTTTTACTGAAAATGAGGCATTTCATCTTAGTTTTCAGGGGTGGCAATGCATCTGCAATTTGATTTTTTATGGAGGATTGTTGCAGATGGCTATGAGCCACAGCATCCATTTACCATTAGGTGGGCTGTGTGCTCGCTAGTCATCCTTATTCTCTAAAAAAAAATTGTGCTTATATTTACAGTAAAACACTGGTAATTTGCCGACTCATATGCTTTCTATGCTTGGACAACAGACAGATGCTTATGTTTTATCATCTATATCTCATCCATTGAATATTACAATAAAGAAGTTTGCCGTATGCTTGCCAAGTATAATAAACATTATTATTATTTTTATAACAGCTGCGCTCAAGCCATCAACACCCGATGCATCCGCAGACCCTAACAAGAAACAAGAGGAATTATTTCAGGCAATGCAAGCACAGTATGAAGTCGCACGGGCGACAACACATACCATGCGCGGCGTCGGTCTAGGTTTTCAACGCGGCCAGTTCTAAAATCCACCAAGTGAACGATAATCCATGAAATATGGTGAAAATTAATGTCAAGATAACATAGAATTTATTTAACTTTCACCAGGTTGATAGACGAAGATATATTTCGCAGTGTGGGGACATGAGTAAGCTTCGGTAGTTTGTGAAAAAAAAGATGTAAAAAGAATATTAAATATTTAACAGATTTATAACATTGTTTGTTCCAAAGCTATTAATGAGAAAGAGAGAGAGAAAGAGAATGAACGACACAGTCTAGGAAGTTGGATGTAGATAAAAGGCCAAAACAACTTGTGCAAGTTTTTATATAACTTTAAATTAAATAAAGTCACTGCCGATTAGATTGTGAAAAGTGAAATTATAATTTGTATCTTTATGAATAAAACCAAAAAATATGATATACTCAGGAATTTAAGGTAAACCTTAATATCACCAGAAAACCGAAACTAAAATCTCATGATACTGTGTATATATAATGTGACTGCATTAAGTGTTTAATTATTTTATTACTGAGACAGAGACTCTACTTTATGTGATATCTTTCAGCAAAAGAATAATCATTGTAAGTTGTATAAGTGTTTGTTCATTATTCAGGACGGTAAAGCTGGATTAACATCTGGGCAATATTATGTAACAATATTTGGTTTGAAAAGTGAAGAAAGACCTGTGCAGCATGCGGTAAACTTAATATATTTGAATATTACACTACCGTTGACACCATAGAATACTATAATACACAATAGAATGGCTGTCAACCTTATTTTGTACGAGGGTCGCCGTCGCCGGGAGTACACATTACGTCACAGCAATTACGTCATATTAGCACTACTACAAAGCCGATTCATTGTGTTAAGATGTAAAATTAATTTTGGTTTTGGATAATGTTCAAGATCATCATTAAAAAAATCGTTTAAATTTTAATACGTATTTATTTGTAAATAGTGTGCAATTTGGCATTTTCTCAATAATTTGCATGAGAAATTTGGGAAAGATTGTTGTAACGTCAACATCTCGTGTTGACATTTATATGTGTTAATTGACATGTTAGTGACATTTTAGTGCTCCGCCCACTCCCCCGTTCTATTATGTATGTATTTTAGTATTCTGTGGTTGACACACAGAATCCCTTGCATTTGCATACAAGCCGGGCCATCTACAGCAGGTTGCCACATGATTCAGATGGCATAGTAGCAAGCTGCAGTGTTGCAAAATGTTGCAACACTGCAGCTTGCAATGTAAAACTGGCTCTATAATTTTTGTATTTGTTGCAATGATTATAACTTTTATTTTAATGTAGTTAATAAATATTTTAGAATTACCTCCAAAAGATTTTTATTTACTCCCCCCTTTATTATTTTATGAATGATCAAACAGAAAAATTGTTTTATGTTCAATAGTGTCATGTCATGTACTTTCTTTCCTAATCTCTAAGAAAACCATTAACTAATATAGAGTTACCTCTCTAATATCTAATACAGTTCAAATTTCGGACGCTTTTTTCCCATCTGTATAAAACGGCTAGTTGTCAGTGCCCCAAGCGCCACTCCACCAGTGTTGGGAATTGTACAATAATTATTTGATTCTTACAATAATTTGTTACACGAAACTAAATTGCACCATAAAACATAGCTTTCTCATTATTGTACGCTTTTATACAATATTTTGCTATTTTTACACAATATAAGTTCAATATTAAAGCACGCAACTCTAAAATGTATGAACGAACGCATCACGTACTTATACCAAATTCTTTAGCATCAACCTTGCCTTATTAGGCTGCGCTCCTTTTGCCTTGCCATTGTGTAACATTTAAAAAAAAAGAAACAAGACTGATATAGATATCCTCTTAGTAATCTGTGGATATAGAGCTAGAGCCATAGAGTATAGAGGTAAGGAGGACAATCTCCCATAGGAGAATTGTCCAACAGTAAGCAGTAAATAACAGTTCAAAACTCTCCACAACAGCGCTCGAATAGCTACGGGATAAATCGGCGTAAAATACGTTGAGAGTGATTTTAAAAATGAAAATTTTGAAAGCAATAAAATAATTATTGTAAAAAAGAATTATGGTAAGAGTCCGTGCAATAAAAAGTTCTTTACAATTTAGACTTTACCTACAGTTTCTGGGAAATTTATTTTGGACTGGCTCCGTGATCCCTTCTTAAAATTATATTTTTAGTTCTTGCAGTGGATATTGCCAAATTCACAAATTCTATACTTTCACGCAAGTAAAGTGGTTGTAACTGAAATAAATGAAGAAGTAAGAGAGCTATACAAAGAAATACTACTTTGTTATATGAAGAATGATTATGTCTCAAAAACACCCCTGGCTAATACAGATCCCACAAATCAATCACAATTTCTCCTTAAACAACAATTATATCTAAGAGTATGTGTTAATGTGTAACTCATCTTAGTAATGAAGACGTCCAAAGAAATCCTACCGGAATAACAGATTTCCACAATAGTTGTAGGAACTTCCTCATGGTAGCTGCTTCTGAAATAAAAAAACGCTGGGACTTTTCCAATAAAATGATGTAGGAAATAAGCTCTTTAAATCGTAAGTTAGCTCTTTCGAGCGACCACAGACAGAATAAACCTTCCATCGTGCCGTTGGCTACAATATTGCCCAGAATTATTACTCATAATACTGCAACATGCGATGCGATGACTAAAGGCGAAATCTCTACCTGACGACATAGCTCAAGAAAAAGAAGTCGACCTGTTTTGGTCTAAATTTGGATTGAGACAGCTTAAATAAATAAAAAATATTTAGCAAAAAATACAATAGTTCTACCCAAAATACAATATTTTCTAGCTTGGCAACACCATAATTTCGTACCAACTATTTCCCAACACTGCACTCCACAGACTTTAATAGAAATCCAAATACATTGTTGACCATGTTATACCAACTTTTTAGTACAATGTAAAAAAAAGCCGCCGTTTATAAGAAATACAAAATACAACTTCTGACCGTAACTACGCTCGTGTAGAGACATAAATGCCTGTATGTTCAGTTCACGCAGTAACTTTTCTTACCACGTAGTAAAAAGGTAAAAAGTATGAGCGGGTGTCAAGGTCACTGTGATATAGTGCACTATAAAACAAAGACTATGATGTATAATATTATTCAGACCAGGAACCGTCCCAGCTGTGGATCGCGCGGGCGTGATCGAGGAGTTGAAACCATAAGCGTGCCACGCAAGATGACACATTTTCATTTACAACAGCTACTGTCCGCGAAATAAAGTTACATTACTTAATAATAAACTTCAAATAACGATATCAAAGTTGTGAACATAAATAATTAATGAGGTTTTTTGGTCACATTTACCGAATTCAGTGTTAAATTGTCAGTCGTCTGAAGAAGTTCTGGAGAATTGACCGTAACTTAGGGTGCAATGTATTGTAACCGCAGAGCTCGTCTAGTAGTGTATAATAATTTATTTGACTCTCCATTTGACAGCTTAGGCTTTTGTATTATATCTGTTTTAAATTACAAAATTACATTTCACAGTAGTTAGCGGTAGTGGTCATACTGGTATAGACTGTGTTACAGCCGTCTTCGCTCACACTGAAAATTTTTGGAATTGGTCACTTGTAAACGATAGAATAAAAAAATAAGTTCAAATTTTGAAAGTGGCACTCTGCCAATATTATTGTGTATTCCTAAACAAAAATTCTTTCAACATCAGGGGGGCGCAAGAAAAACACACAACTGTATACTAATGTAAACTACAAATGCAAAATTAAATCGTGTCACTATAAACGCACACTAAAGTATTCGTGTTTGTGTTCATCGCGTTTACGCATAAATCATCATCGCGTTCCCATCAAATTGTACACGTGTCGATACACTGATGCACAGAATACATTTACTTTCAGTATATTAGAAAGTACTCTGTGACATTTACCCATGATTTACCCTGACGTGCACTGATGGCGCTGTCTGAATGTGTAAGCAACGTAAGGCGTGGACTATGTCGATATTTTTATCGATAAACAAATCACCAGAGTCCGCATAAATTTTTATTTGATTATGAGTAATACAGATGTGGAGGCGCTGTCGTCGCGCCACAAACAAAATACACCGAAGCCTAAATCACGCTATCAACATTCCGAATCATAAACAGTATATATAGAACATCTCCGAACTATCACATGGAGTGTTGGCCGCTTCCCGGGTAGAACACCTTACCCGGCGGGAGATCTCCCCTTTTCCTACTACGGCCACACATAGATAAATAATACCAAGGTGTTATTTGAAATACTTTTTTTAAAGTATTTAAAAATCATCTTCGGAAAGAAACTTAGAAATTATTGAAAGAAAGTGAATTTTTTGCTACAGGTTTATTTTACATTATGCAGGATAAAAATTAAAATGATAGTCCATTGATCGCCGACCAGAGTTTACTCAAGAAGCGCTGACGGCATTAAAATTGAGAGCGGAGAGTAACGTAAAGTTTAGTCAATTTGTGGTAAAATTAAAAAAAACACTTTTTGCTGCGGGGCGGGGTATTTAATTGATTTTTGTACTGTTAACATAATTTTTAGACGTAGCTATGTGTTTTATATAACATTTTCATATAAAAGGTAGAAACCTAATGTAATTTTTAAATTTTAAGTGTCGTTTTGGCTGACTTTGATACCAACAAATTAAAATGACCGGATTTGATCCCAAGTTAAATACACATTTCCGGCTTTGATACCAAGTGGCGTAAAGATTGCCACCTTTGTTTCCAATTCATGTAACGTTAGAATAGGGTTGTCGATTAAGCAAAATCATAACATTTGTTACTGTTTTTACAAAGTTTATTAAGATCAATCAAGATTACGTAAGTAAGGATAGTCAATTTCTTTATCGGATGCAAAAACACTGATATTGAAGATGACTTTATATTACTGTAGGTAACTATTAAAGGTTAGATAATATTTTGTCATCTAAACACGAAGGTCATCTACTTCATCCAAAGGCTCCTGACAATAATCTTCTGAGCTTCGGG